AACTATATAGTGAGACCCTGTCTCAAAAAACCAAAAAAATGAAGAAAAAAACAGATATACTTGGATAACAAATAAAATAGGCCCCGCATCCCTTACTATAGGACAAACAGAGGCCAGTTGTGAGCATGTACCAATGGAAATGTTTTTAAGACACAATGAAACCTAACTTCAATGTCTGTTGTCCAGACCTCAGGGGAGGCAAGCAAGATGGAACTGGCTGTTAATAAATATGACGAACTAGCTGCACGAGAGGCTGGAAAGGGGCATTCATCATTACCAAGGCTGTAATTAACAGCTTTTTAAAAACCAGGCTTTGTGCATTAAAGAGGTAGAAAAACTGTTAAACCATACAGACACATCCATAAACTTATCCAATCAAGAATGTGTTCCTTTAAAAGTGGTGCGCAGGTGGGGGGGGGGATTCCCAGTTTCTACTATCCTACTAGCCTTATAACATTATCTTTTAGTACAACAGTATGGTTTATATGCTTAGTTTTTTGGGGGAGTCAGGCAGAGGAAATGAACCCAGAGCCTTCACACAGAGCTACATTTTCAGCCCTTTTTATTTAGACAGAGTCTAAGTTGCCCAGGCTGGGTTCAAACTTGCAATCCTCCTGCTTCAGTCTCCCAGAGTACAAGGACTACATGTGTGTATCACCAAAACCAGCTTCCCTACTACAGTATTTTTTTTGGTTTTTTTTTATTTAGTTCTACCTATTGGACTTAATTTATAAAGCAGAATTTTGTGAAATAGAAATTCAAAGAGCCTATCCACTTAACACATTACTGAATAGTCTTCATTCTGATGTTTTCTAACAGTTATATATTTGTCTTAGTAATGCATATCTCTCTATCTTCCACAAGACTGTCAGGGTTCAATTCCTAAATATGATTCATGAGCTTACTAGTTTATGAGCTGTGAGATTCTATGACAAGTTAGTTAATCATTTTGTGCTTTGGTTTCCTCATCCGTGAAACAGGGTGAGTTACAGGATCTATTCTACTGTGTTACTGTAGGGACCAAATAAGACACATGCAAAGTAATTACAATGATACCTATCACAAAAGCTTTAATAAATATTAGAAATTTTTGAAAATCAGATTCAATATACATGAGCTTTATATAAAACTGAATACAGGAGCCCTAATGTCACAAAGCAGATAGTGGAAGGCTAAGTCTAGAAATGAAATAGCAGGCAAAAGCCGAATAACCACACCTCACCAATCTTACCCAGGTGTAACTGTGTTGTCTTCCTCCAATTTATAATTTTTCAGTCTATTTGTGGTTGAAAGCAGAATAAAGGGGTATTTGCAAATCAGTGATACTAATTTAAGGAGCACTGAATATTTAGTGTAAGAAAATCTGTAAAAAGAAAGAAAGAAAGAAAGAAAGAAAGAAAGCAAGCAAGAAAGAAAGCGAGCCAGGGATTTGGCTCAGTGGTTTCGGCGCCTGCCTTGCAAGCACAAGGACCCAAGTTCGATCCCTGGAACCAAAAATTAAATAAATAAATAAATAACAAAGAAAAGAAAAAGAAAGAAAATCTATTAGTAAAGGTATCAGTCATACACACACAGACTAAATACAGTAAAATACATACTAATAACAAGTTAAAAGCTGGCATAACAATAAACCTTATACTGCTTTACAATTCATACAGCATAAAATCTGTTAAATGACCTAAGTCACTGTGTGTAAATAAAGCATGTTACCTTTCCTCCTAAAGGTACCTCAAAGGGATTCTAACTGCTCAAGTCCTACCTCACAAACAAGAAGTCAATCACCAATTCTACCCAGAACCAGCCCAGCTCTATGTTCATTCTCTCTCTCAGTGGAATCAGAAGGAATAAGTGGCCTCCCTGACATACTGGGGTACTTAGGGAATCCAGTAAGCACTGTAATTCACAGACTACAATGAAAAGTGCCTCAGTCAGGTTTTCTCCTCTGTTACACATAGGACCAAATAAATTCTGGGCACTCAACAATGTCCCTGAGAATAAAAAGTCAGTATTCACCAAATTACCCCTCATTGCTGCCAAAGAACAATGGGGCTTCAGTAATTTTCTCCTTTTAATGCACAAACAGATAGGGCATGACTTAAACATTAGCAAAATGTCAAAACCATTGCAATGTACACTTGTTCTACATCAGCATGTGGGATGGTTAGCAGGGCTCCGTGCCTTGGCCAGAGACTGCCCCAACACCACTGAGCTGTCTGAAAACGACAAAGTGTGGCTCTGCTCTACTCCCTCTCAACTGGGAAAAAAGACAAAAGCAAAAAGCCCCAAATGTCTGTCGCTTCATCATAATTCAAATGAATTATCACTTGTTAAACTTGAACTGACAAGCTGGGGCCCTTATCTTACTTATCAAATATTCAGCAAGCTCCCACCCAGTTTAACAGGGACTGAAGGATCATGTATACTAGCTAAGTTTTAAGTACCACACCAAAGTGTCTTGATAATTATATTTCAATATATTCTTAGTTCTCATGGAAGATGAAAAACACATCACTAGTTTTTCCATTCCAAGCAATCTGTTAAAGGATACCAACATTACTTGTAAACAGATTCCAAGCTATCAGAAGGGTAAATTAAAAATATACTTGTGTGTTTTGGATACATTCCTTAAACCATTTGTCAGATTCTTGTTCTGGCAAGAATCTTATAACTGACCACATAATGAATTTATGAGTTTATAATGAATTTATAGTTTGAGTTTATAATGAATCTTTCACATTCCAGTTTCTTCGAATGCATAATAAATACGTATGACTCTATTGCTTATTATAAATACATCTTCAAGAAAAATCTCAAAACAAGCCAAGCAGGTGGTATGCACCTGTTATCCCAGCACTTCTGGTGGCTGAAACAGGAAGATCATTGGTCAAGGCAAGCCTGGCTAACACAGCAAGACCTTGTCTCAAAAAAACAAAAAAACAGGGCTGGGGATTAGCTCAGTGGTTCTGCTGCCTGCTTTGTAAGCACAAGGACCCAAGTTCGATCCCTGGTACCAAAAAAAAAGGACAAAAGTGGGGGGCAGGGATTTAACTCAGTGGCACTGCAACTGCCTTGCAAGCGCAAGATCTTGAGTTCCATTCCTGATACCAAAAAAAAAAAAGGGGGGGGGGGAGGCCAAGGAAGAAAAAGGTAAATAAAATAACTAAGATGTGGTACATATGTGTACCAATTCTCCAATTCTCCAAGATAAATTATTGTATATCACCTGCACACACTTTAAAAAAGTGTTTTTATAAAGGTGTTTGTGTTATCTCTTTGGATAAAAATTACTGATTAACCTATCTTTCCTTATTTATCCTTACTTTTCTTGCAATAGCTCTACTGGTGAAAAGACTGTTTCACATTGCCAGGCATGACTGTGTGTTCCAGAATAGAGCAACCCTAACCAATTTAACCCTAATGTTTGCAAAAAATAAACCTAAATAAACCAATGATAGGATGTTCACTATTGAGGATCAATTTATTTCTGAAAAGACGTAGAGAAAAAGGAATTCTACTATGTATACTTGTCATGGAAAATGTGGGCTTGTTTCTGAAAGGAAAAAAATAAAGAAAAAGAAGTTATCCACAAAGTTCCCTGGAGTTAGTGTGTGTGTAGGTACAAGGAGCAAATTACAGCTCTGAAAAAACTACAAACCTGTCAGAGGCAACAAATGGAGCCTGAGATTCAATTACAACACTACGAATGAAGAGGAAAGGCAATCACTGAAGTGATTAACTCATTTTATTTCTATTTATAAAAAGTTTCGTTGTTTTTTATGCATTGTGTTTTGGTTTGGTTTGTTTTTTTTTCTTAGACAAGGTCTTGCTATGTAACCCAGGCTGGCCTCAAACTCCTGGCAATCCTCCTACCTCAGCTTCCTGAAAGCCAGGATTACAGACATGCACCACGTCCAGCTTATAAACATTTTATGACCACCATAACCAGCAAAGAACTAGACAGAAGAAACAGAGATTATGAAGTATAATGCTGACAGAATTTCCTTAACTGGACAGAAACATTTGATCTCCTCCCGTTCCCATTACCCGGGACCCATACTAATGCCAGCCCATTCCCAGGCTCACCTGTTCCCTCTACCTGGCATATGTCCCACCCTCTCCTGAAAGGAGATAAATGCCAACCTCTGAAGCTCTCCTGACCCAAGGGTCAGAATCTACCTGTCTATGAGTTCAAGTACTTTGATATACCTCTAAAGGGTGTTAATTACAAATTACACTGAAAAAACTGTTCAGTTACACCAATGCTTAAATTCTATCACCACCAGCAGATCATAAAAGAACATCACCATTCCAGCACAATCTTCAAAACTGCAAATGAGGGATTTGGTTTCTATAATTTTTGTATCATATCAATGCAGAGGGCATTGGCTATATACATGAACAATAAAAAATAACAAAGGTTTCACTCCAGAGAGCAGCAATAGAAAAGAAAAAGCCATATGGCCTACAAGGCCAAGAGTCACCCATCTGTAAACCAGACCCTGGGTTCCACCTCTTGGATTGTAATAACTGGCCAGGAATCTGCAGGTGACCATACTTCTCATTTTGTTCTGCATGATGATTACAAGATACTCAAATTTTAAAATTTTAAAAAAGATTCTCAAATACACTGCAAAACTCAGGAATAAAACAAAGTTTGAAGTGGTCACATTACAGTGGAACTTCTGCGATGTTTTAATATGCTAATAATACACACTGTAAATTTTAATTATGAAATTTTCACTTGGGGCAGGCCTGGTGGCTCATGCCCGTAATCCCAACATGTGGGAGGCTGAGGTAGCAATAACGAGAGTTCAATACCTTTGTGTTCCAGGCCAGACTAGACAATAATAGATAGGCCCTGCCTCAAAACACCAAAAAAACCTTTAGCGAACTAAGCTGAGCAAGATCCTGAGGAAAATTTGAAATATGTCTCAAAGATAGCTTTGGATTTGATCACAATGTTATTGGGTGCATTAGAGTAAGGTCTAAACACTTCTTACCTGATATGTGTTGCAGGTAGAGATTCATATTGGCGTGACAAAAAGAGCTCCCTGTGTTTCAACTGATGTTTCTGTTTATCAGTCAAGTCGACCTCCACTGTTGTTTCAGATTCTTCTTCAATTTCCTCTATACAAATAAAATTCAAAGAATCCATTATTACAAAGCATACTATTTCTTTAGATACTAATTAAAAAGATAGGTCAAATCAACATTACATTTTCTTCAAACTAATCAATTTTAAATGTATATAGTCATTTCAATTACAAGCATAAAATTAAATCCTTTGGACTCAAAGAAAAGCTAATTTAAAAATGGCAACTGGGCCAGGGATTTAGCTCAGCGGTTCGGTGGCCTGCCTTGCAAGCGCAAGGACCCAAGTTCAATCCCCAGTACCAATCAATCAATCAATAAATAAATAAAATAAAAATGGCAACTGGGCTGGGTTGTATGTCAGTGGTAGAATGTAGGACTCACATACTTGAGGTTGTAGGTTCATTCTCCAGCACCACCTGCCCAAAATTAATTAAAGTTTAAAATGGCAGAAAAAGCACATACATTACATTCGCCATCTCTTCCTCCAACAAAACCAACACCAAGATGGCAATGGAAGTGTTACTACTTCAATGACGTGAGAAATAGAAGCAGAAAAAATAATTTCAACTAAAAAATTTGGAAACTGAAAAGCAGACAAGGCATTGTGATGTATACCTAAAATCCCAACACTATGCAAGGCTGAAGCAGTAGGATCAGGAGTTCAAGACCAGCCTGGGCTCTTGGCAAGACCCTGTTTCAAAACAGAAATAAAGAAGAGCCAGGGATTTAGCTCAGTGATGCTGCTGCCTGCCTTACAAGTGCAAGGTCCCAAGTTTGATCCCTGGTACAAAAAAAAGAAAAAGAAAAAAAAGATGTGTTCCACTCTTTCTGGACAGACCTGGAAGAGACCGACAGAAGTGATTCAAGAAAATTCTCCCTTCCGGAATGAGATTAGTCTCCAGAATTTACTCCATATACTTAATTTTTAGAAAGTAGTAATATCATAAAAGTTTATTTAAAGGAAAAAGAGGTCACATTCAAAGAAACTAGAGTCAGAATGGAAGTACTTATGAACAGCAACACTGTAGGTTAAGGGCAGCAATACTACCCAAGAGGAAGAACAATACTCACTCTACCCTGAATTATTATCTATCAACCCTGAGAACAGAGTAACAACAACCTTTCACTCATTCAATCACATTTACTAAGTGATAAACTAGGTAATTTTCAAGACCCTGGGGCTACTCAGTGAACAAAACAGTTACTTAAAAAAAAAAAAACTTCAAATTCTGGGCCTTTGGGAAGCAGGTCTGGGAAGGAAAGGATGGGAAAGACAAGAGACAAAGTTATACGTGCTAATTTTTAACATTTTAATGATTTCCTTGAAGAAAGGAATGACCAAATATCACTTACAGACATAATACCAATTAATTTGAGCTGCACAATTTTAAAAGATATAAATCCTGTAGGGGCTCACAGGTCCTTTGCAGGCTCACCTGGAGCAGGGTGTGTGGATATGGGAATAGCGGGAGTGCTGAGGACGTGGGATGGTGTGCACTGGCTCTTCACAGAGCAAGAACCCAAGGGTAAACTTGGACACCAATGGTTGCCACACACACAAAACTACATATTTCTGCATCTCATAATTCTTATTTCAGGACCCGAGAGCACAAAAGGGATTTTTATCAAATGCAGTCACCTAGTTGTAGCTGGGTTTTTTTTTTTAATTACATACGGGTAATGAATGCATGGGCTACTACTGGAAATTTCCTACTTTTAAAACTCTTGGAGCCAGGTGTGGTGGTGCACACCTGTAATCCCAGCACTCGGGAGACTGAGGCAGGAGGATTGCTGTGAGTTTGACCAGCCTGG